AAAGCTTTATAGACATAGCTTTGATTTTATATATGTTTATAAGTTAGAAACTTGGTCAACAAGTTAATCATGTATCACACATGTTGATATCCTATGAAACAAGCTAACTATGTAGCATACATATAGAAAACTTGTCTTGCAAGTTAAGATATAAGTCTTGCAATTTGGACATGTGTTGAAGGTCCTATAGAACATCATCATGTAGCTTTTAATTAGATAGTATATATGGAGGCAAGAATGAAGCTTTTTTCACTCTTATCAATGTCTTTCTTATTTTGTGTCTATTTTCAAGAGTCTATATTTTTCTTTTCTTTGACAATATTTATTCTAGTCTTTATATTATATTATTTTTGGAATCAATATTTATTCTTTTTGAGTTACATAAGAATATTTTAAGATTCTTTATTTTTTAATTCATATCCTTGATACCACCTTGATTTGCTAATGGAAGTTGTGGAAGCATCTCAAGAGTGAAGTGTGGTATGGAGGCACTTTAGAAAAGTTTGTTGTATTGTTTCTTCATAACTTTTTGATAGATATGACTTTTAGGTAGAAAAAGAAAATCAATTTTTTACAATAAAGTTTAATATTTTATATTTCAAATTTGGCATTTTTTAGTGGATCATTGTCAACTTTAATAAAAAAAGATGGATGAATTTTAAATTGATTGCATGGTTAAGTTACTCCATGCTTAAGAAGTATATAATACAATGAGTGAATGAATGTGTATGAGATATTAATAGCTAGAAAGACTGCCTATAAGAGGAGAGGGAGAAGAAGAAGTTTAGGTGAAGACTAGGAATAAGAAGGCCATGATGAAGGCTAGGAATGGAAGGAACGGATATTTAGAACGAAGATGGTTAAGATGAAGATTGAAAATGGAGGGAGCGATGATTGAGAACATTAAAGAATACTATGAAGTGTGCTTGAGAATATACCAAGTACTTGGCTATAGCAAGTAAAATCAAGTGATGTAATAGTTAGAAATACATATTTTTTAGATTGATATATATATATATATATATATATATACACACATATGTGTATTGAAAGTAAATAAAATCACATACAAATATTGTTAAATCTGCACCTCTCTTGCTATCTTATCATTGATTCTATCCATCCTTTTATTATCCATTCTCCAATCTTATATTCTCGAGTTTTTTTTCTCAGTTCTCTAAACCTTTGTTCCCTAGTGCCTTTTTTTCCATCTCCAATTTCTAGTCCTCCACTTTGTAGTCTTCCATCCTTGCGTATCAATCTAATATATATTTATTTAAATAAAATAATTTAAAATCAAAGCATAATATAATTAATTTTTATAAGTTTATAATTAAATATAAAATTCGAAATGCATAAAATTTAATCAATTAATATTTTAATTTTAAGATATTCTTCTAAAATATTTTAATCTAAAAGAAAAAAATTTAAAAACATTTAATTTTGATTACTTTAACAATTCTTTGTATTATTTTGAAAATCACTTTTAATAGATTTTATTCAAAAATTAAACAAGATTATAATAAAAAATAATTTTTTATTAACATCAAAAATTAATTTAACATAAATTATAAACCCATTAGTAAAAATATCATCAAGTCAAAAATGAATCTATTATTGATCTTTTTAACTTTTATTTTAAGTTTAGATTTTCTTATCATGTATGCTATTATAGTCTTGAGAAAGAAGAAAAAATATAAAATATAAAAAATATAAATATAATCATAGTTTTATTACTTATAAAATATAAATATAAATTTTATTATTAATTATATTTGAAATAAAATTAATATAAATAATGTATCCTTATAAACAAATAAATATTTGGAATAATCTTTCTTCATCACTATATAGTTGAATTTTTAATTTCTAAAAAAACTAACTATTGAATTTTTAAAATATAAAATAAAAGTATAAATTATCATATTATTTTTTCAAATTTAATAATTGTGCTAAAATATGTCATTTTTAAAAATATATATATAATGAATATTCTATTAAATTTTTGGATACTTATATATTTCTAGTACAATTAATTTATTTTAATAATCAGTTAGATCATTAGAATTATAGCTTTGTGGTTTTTAATTTAAAAAATACATGTTCAAAAACACAACCCTCCTTTTAATCATTTAAAAATTTACAAAAATTTTAAATTTGTATATGTGTGTATATATTTTTATATATATACATACATAATGCATTCATATTGGTGTTAATAATTCTATTTCTTATAATCAATTGATGTTTCTTTTATTTTGGTTTTACATTAATGATTTGACTTCACATTTGTTACAAGTGAATTTTTAATATTAAAAAATATATATATATATATATATATATATATATATATATAGTTTTGAGTTTCATATATATGTGTAGTATTTACATGAAATTATTTCCATCATTCATAACATTAATCAATCTTCAATAAACCATTTTAAAAGTTTTATATTTATATAATAATAGTAATAGGGCTAAGAATGAACATTAGAAATAATAGGCTACATAACAAGGGCTAGAGAAATTGATACTAAGAAAAAGAAATTGAAGAATGAGCAATGAAAAATAAAAGAACATATATAGAATCAAGGATGGATTGTGTCGGGGTAGAGAGAATTAACCTTAAGAAAGTGCTAGACTTCTAGCTGTCACTAATTGCTCAATCAAGTCTCAAGATAGAAAGGCACCAAGTTTGTATATAAAATTATCCCTATAGGAGCAAATACATCAATATATAAGCCCTAAGTACCAAAGATCATCCAAAATATTCTAAAACCTTATATAACTTTAAAGTAAAAAATTTCCAAACTTCAACAATTCATGTCTCACAATTGGATCATCCAAATAAACTAAATTTTTATATGAAGTACTAATGTACTTTAAACAACTACCACAACAAATTTCAACTACAAAATTTATTACAAATCTTGAGCTATTGCCAAAATCCTAAGAATCCCTTCAAACCCTTATTTACATGTACATGCATAAAAATTTCTTCATATGTCAGAAATTAAAAACTCAAATGCCACAAAATTTGATATATAACATTTCAACCTAATAATTCATATTTTTAAAAAATTTTGAGCCAAAAAACTCTTTTAAAAATTCAAGATATGTCTCCAACCATTACTATCAATAAAACAATTCACTTATTACCTTTGAATTAAATGTACACTATTTATAAGTATTTATGCATATTAAAGTGGTTAATAGGTTGATTTAAAGAAAGTTGATGTAAAAAAAATTGTTTTGAGGTTTACCTATTTTGATTACAATGTTTAAATTATATAGGATTTAGATATTTAGTAAAAACTTTAAAGAAAATATTGGGATTCAAAGATAAAGATCCAAACCTATAAAAAGCTTATTTGGAGGAATAAAAACAAGGTATAGATGGATGAAGACATGTGCATGTTAATGATTATTTGGAAGAAGATACACAGTATTAGTTATTATGGTTGTAGAAGATTTTAAGTTTCTAAATAAAAAAAAGTATGTAATTTAAACTTCAATTGCGATTGAATCTTGTATTATATTGATTAAATGAATCTCTACATTCCATTCTTGCATCAGGATCATGATTCTTTCAATTTTATTTTTTACTTGCTATAATATATCAATCATAAAGAAATAGAATTATTTCATCAAAAGCCAATTTTAAAATTTTAAATGTTCATACTTTTCATATTATACAAATATTAACATATATGAATATATATATTACAAAAATTCAACTTGTTGTTACTATATGGATTGTAAGTTTAGCACAAAATTATTGTGTAATACTTGTAGTATTGATTCTATTAATACAAGTTGTTTCAAAGATTAATAAAATAAGGGACAATAATAAGTTCGGTAGAATACAAGAAATTTTGTGATTTAAAATATTATGAGGATTAATGAATCATCTATTAATTAATTAATTTAAACTATATATATATATATATATATATATATATATATATATGTGTATGTAATTATTCTTTGTTTAATATACAAAGATGCACCTCCATTATCTTTGTTGGAACAAAGATTATTCTTAAGTTGTAAACGAATATCCCTCACATAATTTACATTTAGCTTTTGTTGTCTTGTGTTCCAAGTTCCTTATATATATATATATATATATGTGTGTGTGTGTGTGTGTGTGTATGTGTAGGTAATTATTCTTTGTTTAATATACAAAGATGCACCTCCATTATCGTTGTTGGAACAAAGATTATTCTTAAGTTGTAAACGAATATCCCTCACATAATTTACATTTAGCTTTTGTTGTCTTGTGTTCCAAGTTCCTTATATATATATATATATATATATATATATATGTGTGTGTGTGTGTGTGTGTTTATTCTTTGTTTAATATACAAAGATGCACCTCCATTATCTTTGTTGGAACAAAGACTATTCTTAAGTTGTAAACGAATATTCCTCACATAATTTACACATGTCAAGATAATAAAGTAAACAATACACAAAAATTATATATATATATATATATATACATAAAAATGAAACACTTGATGAAAGTTTGAAAAGAATCCCAAGCCCATTCTACCAAGCCAACACCCACAACACAGCATAACCAGCAACACCTCCACATGACTCAATCCTACAAGCTTATGTGTCATGTTTCAAGATGATACAAAAACAACTCTAAGCTTCCCATGAAAGAAACTCTACGTATTATTATTATTCTCATTATTTTCTGGTATATAGTATTGAAGGCCTAAAAGGAAAGGGCTAAGAATAATAATAATAATAATAATATTAGGTCCACTCCTTAAAGGCAAAACCCAAAAGGGGCGGGGGGGTTAGTCAAGGCCATAGAAAGAGATGATAATGCAGGTGGGATTGCTTTAAAAGAGAGGCATGACATGAGAGCAAGCAAGCATGATTGTGATGGATATGGTACAAGTGGGAATAGGACACATCATACATTTGTGATTTATATATATATATATATATGACTGGTTACCCACCAGCGGACCACCACCACCACCCGCCTGTCTCACTGCCTTGCTTGCTTTATTAGGGACCCCCCTTCCCTGCGTACCTGGCATCGCCACGCTGGCATACTCCTCATCCGAGCTGGCGCGGGCTCCAATACCTCCTCCTCCTCCCTCTTCCAGGCTGACGAAGAAGACGAAGACGACGATGGCCGTGTGCGTGGTGTCTGAACGAATCCCTAATTCACGACCTTCGCTGCGAGGCTTCATAGCGACGACGCAATGTTACGCAACACATGTATGGAGAGTAGGAGATTGAGGAGAGAGTGAAAGCGTGAGTGAGTGAGGTAGAGAGGGAGAGAGGGAGGGAGAGGTGGGGGGAAAATAAAGGAAGAAAGGGGCACTGGCAGTGTCACATCTGCAGGGCTTTACTGTGTCCTCAATAATAGCCTATCACTCTCAACACTCTTGAGGCTTCGTGTACTCCACAACGCGTACGTATTATCCTCACTAATAAACCTTGCCATGGAAAGATCTGGTGTTGGCAGCCACGAGGGATCGATCGGCGTCCCTTGGCTGCTGCTGAGGTTCGTGTTCAGCTTTGTGTTTTGCACGCGGCGTGTGGCTTCCTGGGACGCCAGGGGTGCAGCACTGCAGCTTTGGATTTAAGTTACCTGCGCTTGCCGAACCACGACGCAGTGGCCTGGATGCTCTGCGCGCGTGTGTGTGTATGTGTGATTGAGTGTGTGAATGACGATGCAATCAGTAGGCGGTGAAGCTATGACGTCTGGCAGCGTTCGAGAAGAAGCCGCCTCCGGCTGCGGAACGCTCTGTCAGTCAGTCACCCGATCTGAGGCTCTGTCTGTCTGCGCAGGGAAAAGCTTCATGAACAATCTTGTCGAAGTTTGCATCATTGTGTACAGTCAAAGAAAGAATGTTTTGACCGTTACTGCCGACTGGGATCTGCTGACCATTGGATGAATGCCCAACATGGTGTGCGAAGAGATACGCCAGCTGGTCCGTGTGTGGAGAAAGCCGAGACGAGGTTGTAGTGAGCAGATAAGTATCGTAGTGCCAAATACTCTGCTAAAGTGTGCCAAGAGAACCGGCATTGGCTGATGCTACACCTGTAGACCTACACTCTTTATGTTTGATCCCATCACCAATTGCTTCACAGGCCACATGTGGGATGCACTTTCGTACTTAAATATTTTCGCACATGTTATCATCCAGATCACATCAACCACAATCAGCACTCAGAATCCGGGGATGCAACTGCTGGAGCATGTGTCGTCTGGTATTGTCGTCAAATCGAGGCGGGGAGTGAACATAAAGATTGCACGATGTGCACATTGTCGGAGAACAGTTCGTGCCAAAAATGCTAGCTATACAATGTTCTGAGTTGTGCTCTCTCAACACCAGAATACAGAGTGTAACTCAGAGGATTCAAGAGGACAATCATCCCAGAAGCAATACAAAAGATCAATGTCATTTTGACGAATGAGTGGCACTTAGTATTTACATTTATGAAAGAACTGGCCGGGGAGATATTGCTCCACGAATGGCCGGATTACAATCCCCTCAGCAGGCCAGGTTCTTTTTCTTTGGTTCTTTTTGTCCTTTTTATGCGATTGCGAAGAAGCAAAGATTTTGCATGCATCGTCTCCCTCTGGATCAACCATCGCTCTCTGTGGTTCCAACAAAATTGACCAACTCGTGGCCCAACACCTCGTTGTCTCCTGCGCATCGTCTCCAGAACCTGGACTTGGCGTAATCACACGGCAGTGTTGAGCAGATTCTCGGCAATCAGCACCCGTGGTGGCTGGCATCTGGGAAATTTTACGATTGAATGGTAGTCGAGGCTAGCCGATGCTCTCACGGAAAGATGACCTGCGATCTGTTGCTGTTGTGCAATGGATTCGGACCGGTGGGTACCATACGTTCAGACTGAAAGTGAGTGGAGTGCTTTTGCGGGAGTCGGTAATTGGCAAGGATTTCTCGTGTTCGCAATCTCTCTTGGTCCACTGGCGGACTCACCGTCGGCTTCCCGGGTTTCCTTCTCGCGCACTTGAGTTGCGAATCACAAACCAGGCGATTACCTTGTTCGACAAGTCTACGAAAACGACCTCGCCGACCAACCAGAACATTCCAGCTTTGCACCACATCCGAGCGCCCCGCTGAGGCCTGCATGAAAACGTTCAAGAGATTGTTACGACATGTCCGCGTTGCAGCTACTTGACAATTCTCCTGGGGTGATTCATGTCAGTGTAGAGAAATAATCAGGAAAAAAGCAGGGTGAGAGCAAGTGCAGCAGCAAATCGAGTGCGAAAATTGGAAATTGGCCTAGCGTGGTCATGGTCAAAGATCTCACACGAAGCGAATTCGAATTTTCAATTGCAGATTTCGAGATTTTTAAGTCCCGAACATCCATGTCATGAGGTCCTGATTCGGAAGCAACCACCCAACAAACACAACGATCAGCTCACAAGAAGTTTGATGCTGTACGTCTTCCCTCTCTTCATTCCAGATTAAACTGCAGTCACTCACTCCCCAACCAAACCATTGCTCGCAACATTGCCTTACAGAACTAGGAAGGAGTTGAACAATCCGAGGTCGATATGACCTAACTCTGTACAAATCTTGAGAGGTTGGAGACCTAAATCATCGCGACATTTACAATGACTCGCACCGCTTCAAGAATAAAGGAGCCAGTCAAGCCCACAGCAATCCTTTCTTTGATGCAAAAGCGATTGTACCCGAACCACAAATTGACACACGGGAGAGCAGAGCGGAAGGGGCAAGAGCTTGTTGCCAGGTGACGCAAACATACCTGCTGGGGGTTGGAAGAGAGGTTGGCTAGGGACAATCAGTACTGCTAGAGCTAGAGCTATCAAGAGCATCATGACGAAGCTCCCGCAGATCGCCATCGCAGTGCTGCTCCTCTCTCGTTCCACACAACGTCGCCCTCCAAGTAGCGGAGGGAAAAAAAAGAAAAAAAAAAGAAAAAGATAAAGAGAGAAATCAACATAAGTCGAGATAATCCCGCGAAAGCTCAAGTGCCTTAACTCGACATCTGCCTTGAGATTCCTGTTTTCCAGATTTCATTTCTAAACTCGAGAAGAGAATTAACGACAGATGGGAGATATAGAGATAGTATGTGTGCGAGGAAGGGGAGATTGGTTAGGCAGGTCAAAGAAAAACTCTGGTACGAGGTATGTCCAGAGATGAGGATCCAGATTCACACCACAATGAGGAGATCCAGCCCAGAGACAGTGGCAAAAACTTCATCTTATAGGCTACGGGGACGGCTTTCTCAATGTAACGCTACTTATACATGCTCCCCAACTCGGCATCATCAACGTCTCAGGACTGGCAATAACCTCACAAATATGGGTCGCACGCGGGCAAGTTCTGCGGTTTCCTAGAACATGCTACATCATTCTTGTCACCAAAGCCACACGCAGCTCTACAAGACCGGGCGATCCTGTAATCCCGGGCAATGTGATCAGTACTACCCAGTTAACGAGCACACTTCAGACCTGGGGGCTCGAAGGACGCTCACTCTAATGCAGCAACCAAGATCAGAAGTTAATTGAACGTGGTAACTACTACAACTGCGAGTGGTACTTGCAAGAGATTGCTTGTAGCAGCAGCAGCAGCAGCTGTGAGAGATGCGAGTTACAATCGCGGATTAGATTGTTCAATCCAGTACCACGATATGGTCGACTCACTGAAGACGCTTCCTTCGAAAGTTCTTCGAGCACGCATGCGTGCGACAAGCACGTAGGAATTTGATTGCAATATCCCGCAATGCCGTGCAGTTTACATTCCTCTGGGGACACTCCGATCACAACCGCCAAATGAGACTAACTGGTGACGACGCCAAGGCCGCTTCGGGTTGCAGACAACTAGGAAAAGTAGTAGTTCATAACCGTGGCAGCGACAGCGGCAGTAGCAGAAGCAGCAGAAGCAGATGCAGCTTCTTCTTTTTCTTCTTCTTCTTCCACAGCGCAGTAACGGATGCCGTGATTGCAGCAATTATCAACTCAATGTCCCCCCCTCCAACTAACGATTCCAACGACGCAAAGGAGGAAGCAGAGAAGATGATCACCCGTGAGTTCACATCAACTCGCACCCTAGACCTGATTAAAGCACCACATTTGAAGCAAACGGATACTACCGCGTGTCTGCTGGAGTAACAAACAAGGTGAATCACACCATGATTCAGTTAAGGTAGCCTCTGACACACAACATCTCCCCACCCTAAACCTTCTTCCAAGCAAGCGGAGTCCCAAACGAGGACTCAACTATCATACCCCCACCCCCTCACCCCCTCCATCATATCACAATTTTCCATTTGGTACACCGCCATATGATTCGTACCCTCACTCCACCTCCCCCCCGATTACTTCCAATTCTCCTTGTAAATGTGTTCTTTTTCTATCTTTATAGCTGTATTTTCTAGTTCATTTACTTTATTTTTTGGGTTGTTTTTCACATGCTTTGTATTTTCCTCAATATGTGACGCAGAATTAAGACGGAAGCAAGCAGATAAGAATCGTTGGAAGCGTCCATTCCTAACGAGATAGGGGGAGAGAGGGTGAGAGAGTGATTGTAGAGCAGTAGGTTAGCCACCATTAAACGCTTGGAACGAGCTTCACTGAACGTGGCAGGCCACCAACAAAACTGATTCTCCCTAACTGTCACCGATCAAGTGCAGTATTAAATGCGCGATTTGTGCGAGCATCTGCGGCCTCTCGCTTTCTTGATGGTATTGGGAATTCGTGAAGTGCCGTACGTCCTCCGCCAAGGGCTTAATTTAATACGATCCTGGGCGAAAGGCGGCTGCAGTACACTACCGCATTCGGGGCCGCACCACCACCCCGCCTCCTCCTCCTCCATGTTTCCAAGGCAGCAAGTGTCTCATTTTTGAATTCCTCGCTCGGTGCTTGCATTCAAACTGCGCTGCTGGAGCTGGAGCTACCTGCCAGGAGACCCTGCAGCAGGCTATGGCTTTGCCTTCACTACTAAGGAAAAGGGCCTCATCAGCAGCATAAGCAGCAACCAAACCGGGTGACCAGAAAGAAAACTTGCTCTTGTGCTCTCGCAGCCATGGATGGAGATAAGTTTAAGTTACGGTGCGCTAAATCACAAGTTACTTTCCTCTCTCTTTTCCCTGAGGCTTGCAGGGGGTACTGACAACGAGTTTGTGTTGTTCCTTTCCTTGCTTCTTTGCACTGCGCCGCTCAGGTGATGCCAGCCTTTAATACCATTTTTCCGTGACAAAAAAATATAAATATACTCATATATAACTACAAAAGGTAAAAGAAATCCAACCTCGGAATAGTGACAAATTATCAGAAATTGAAAACTAAACTAGCAAAGCTTCTAATACAAGGAGTGGGAAGAAGTGGAGGAGGTTTAGGAAAGATCGCATACGCAGTTTTTTTTCTTTAATAAGAAACTGTAACAATAATCATTAACGTATTTAAGAAGAAGAAGCTCGCCTCTGTTTTGTTTTTTTGAGTTATTTTATTAGTTTATTTGCAATTCATTGTTTGTGAGAGGATTGCAAACAATTATTGGAGATCTCTTGGAGCAGATAATGGCAGGGGAAATTGGAGGCCTCCATCACCATCTCACCTTTCAAGCCCCTCATAGGTAGATCAAACTCAAAGGGTACAGAAATCAGAGCTGGACGGGGAGGGACGAAGTACCAAGCTTGCACACCACTACAGCCCCCCTTACTACAGTGGCTGCTGTTGTAGTTTTCTACTGCTTGACAGCAACAGAGCAAATAAAAAGCCTGTGGACAACCTGAAATCTCCCCCCTCCACCCCCCTCCTCCTCCCTCAACTCAACTAAACTACAATCCCATCCCTCCCTTCCCTGCGCCGTAGAAACTCGATTTTCCCTTCCCTTCCCTTCCATTCTCTGCCCTTACTCTGCCTGCATTCCTGCCTACCTGCCTGCCTGCCTGCTTCACCTGATCGCTCTCAGGGCGACACTCCACACCGATTCAAGTAACTCCGCAGACAGCTTTGTCCTCTAAGTACGCGATTACTACCCCTGATGAAGACCGCATTCTGCCTGTTTTCACACACACAACCCCCCCCCCACCCCCCATTCTTCCGCCACTTCATTCCTCCGCGTTTTGATTGTATGTAACTATCTATGCCCCTGTGCGTGTTGTTGTTACCCTACCGCTCTAGTAAAGAAGAAAAACAGCTCGATTAACGCGGCGATTTGCGCGGCTCTCTCACCTGGCCCGCAAACGCCATAGCCTTCCCTTCTCATTGCAAACTCGAAACCCACCCCCTTTCTTCCTTAAACCCTAGGTCGTCCCTCCCTCCTCGTAGCTTTTGCTTTAAAGTGGAACCGTGAGCATTTCCTTTGGCTTTTTTTATTTTTATTTTTTTATCACTTTTTATCACTTTTTTTATGTTCGTGGTTGATTTTTTTGCATTTGGAAGCCTGTGCTCACTTTCACATCAGGGAACTGAACCTCCAATCAAATCATTAAACTCTACTTCTGCTTCTTTATCTTCTGCTTCTCATTGTAATAGTTCTTGATACTATTAATAATAAAATATCTTGTGTATACTTTTTATACTTTAAATATATATATATATATATATATATTTATTAAATTTATGTGAATTTTTATTGCTATTATGAGTGCACGACAAAAGCGGTCTTCTTCAATGGGGGGACCATAAATGAGCTTAAGCTGTAAATGCCCTTCCAGCAGCCAATGGGGAGTATGGACTACGTGTGTGAAATATTGTGGTATTTGATGGAACAGGCAATTAATTAGAGCTTTAAAAACGTTAAAAGGCATCAGCCTTTTTCACTTTGATCTTGTCCATGGTAGTAAGATGAACATTACATTATTTGATGGGTTAATTAATTAAATTGGTTTAAGAAATTAATTGTGTCTGTCTCAATTTGTGTAGGAATAACTCAAAGGCATTGGATCCAATCAACAAACTCAAGCATGTTTTTTGTGTTTCAACCTTTTTGTGCAAAAACTTTATGGAACTCTCTGAAACCCTGTTTATTCATGTACATTTTTGCAGTGAAATTTTAAGTATTGAGTGAGTGGGTATGTGTAAACACGCTTATCTTTTTTTAAACATGATTTTAATTATTGTAAAATGAATTCAGATTTTGACATAATCACATGTATGTGGTTTGTGTTATCAATAAATTGATGGATTGAAACCAAATTCTGTGTTGCGATCTTAATTTAATTTCCTATTGTAAAAATAAAAAGAAAAAGAAAAAGAAACAGTTGTTACGATATAAGTTGAAATTTCCACGAATACACACACACACACACACACATATATATATATATATATATATGTTACTTTCTGTGAACAATTGCTTTAAATTATTCAATCTACGTGTTATAAAAAATATTTAAATTATGGACCAATTCAAAAAGTGCTACAATAAAATTTATTGTCACGTAGGGATTTCTTCACTCACGTTTTGAAGTTTTTCAACTCATACATCTTAAAACCTTAAGAAATTCAGTGTTTCTAACAATCTCAACATTGATTATTTTTATTATTATTATTATTTTTATCTATTTATTATAGATGTTTGTAATAGTTTCCTGTGGAAGAACTGATGCCAAATGAATGCCCAATTGTGTACATTTCTATTCTATAACCAAAACAATGCACAAATAATTCTAAAATCCTTATAAATACCTGTTCCTTTACAAACAAGTAACTTTACTGCAAATGTTTTACACACATTGACAAAATTAAAGAACTAAGAACTAATTTCTTTCTAAAACTTCGATTTGCATTATATTAAGAGGGTTCTGAACACTGTAAGAATTTCGATCAACTGAAAGAAAGAAAACTAAGGGTACCAAAAAGGAATGTTCATAAAAAGGTGTCATTGATTTCTGAAACTTTTTTCTGACTTTTGGACAGACTTTACTTTGCAAAAAAATAAAGTAGCTGATCTAAGCCTAGATACTATTAAGTCAGAATTTGGTTGAATGGTTCATTGGGGTCTTGGTTTATTATAACTTGATCCAGTATACTAATATCATATTTATTAATTAAAAGGAGAAGAGGGTGACTGTACAAGAGTAACTGTGATTGAAATGAGTGTCCAGTGTAGATAGGAAAATTGTATTTAATGTGGGTGGGGTGGATTCTTTTCACTTAAATTTGATGATTAATAATTTTGGAAGGTGTGGAATAATTTTGAAAAGACAGGGCACTATTTTATATATTCTATGATTCGAATCTGAGAGAAATTTCAATAATCAATAAAAATATCTTTATGAATTATTATCCTGCAGAGTGTTGATTTTCAATTGAACGTCAAATAAATATTTTCATCATTCAAGAAAAACAAAATGAAAAGTGAAATTACTGAATTAAACAAACACGTTCAAAATATAATATTAAAGTACAAGACGAGTTGAACTTCTTAATATATGTTTGTTTTTTAGAATTAAGTTTACAAAGTATATTAAATTGTTTTGATAGGTATTAGATACTACATGTAAGGCTTTTAGGAAGTTTAAGAATTACATGCTTTGTAGCACTATACATGGTAAAAAATAAAGAAAAAAAGAAAATAGAAGTTTACAACAAAATTTTCTAATTATATTTCTATTAATACTTTAAGTATTTTATAAAATTACAACATAATAAACAGGTCTTTAAATATTTTATTTTGATGTATATATAAAATAAAGTATAAAAAATTATTTTGTATGCTTGTTTTGAAAACATGAACAAAATTATATATAGAAAAAAATTATTTAAAAGTAAAGTTATTTTGATAAGATCTAAAATTGAATTACTATAGCTCTCCACATAAAAGTCTTTCTTGCCTTTCTTTACAACCTCCACAAGGGTAGTTTCAATTATCTAATCAGCAAGCCTACCATGCTTCATATATTCACATATCCAAAATACAAGACAATTATACATATATGTACATACATAACTTTGAATAGATGTTTTTAACCTTTTACAGTAAAACAACATCTAAGATTGATTGCATGTAGTTGTACAAGAATTTATAATAATAAATCATCAAAATTATGGTTATGTACATATGCATTATTATATATTGCCTTTGTTTGCATATTGTCTATTTTATGAATGTATGCATATACTTTAGTTTTTACCAATAAAATTATCTAATTGATATATTCATACATAAGTTGTAATTTTATTTATATCTAATAAATAAAGTATATTTGTACACTTATTAGACCACCATCTTATGGATAATATGTACATCCAACAAAAACTTCTGTCATCTCATTCAATTGATAAAATTTTGAAATAAATATTCATTAAATATATTAAATTATAAAATAATGTAAATAAATAAATAAATAAATATATATATATATATATATATTATTTTGGTAATACAATTTATTTTTATTTTCATGAATATTTTTTTTATATTTGCATTATATATTGATTATAATAATTAAAAATAGAGATTACGTTGAAATGAAATAAATCTGATACTTTCTATGAAGATTTTTAAAAACAATGCATGGTGAGTATAGAAGTATTCTAATCCATTAATTTAGAATTATGAACAAAGAATTTTCCATCCCAAATTTTTTGTAATGCATAAAACACTCATTTCAAGCTGCAAAAATAGAACATGTATATATATATATATATATATATATAATAAATTTCTTGATTTCTCTTATTTTATTTTAAAAATTACATGTATATTATTCCATTTAGAAGTTTTGATAGCATTTGAGTAATTTGATATTTTAAAAATAATAATAACTTCAATCACTTAGATTTTACTACAATAAAATAGTCATTTCACATTAAAAATTTATGTTATGTTTAATATCATTAATTTTGTGTGTGTGTATATATATATATATATATATATATATATATAATAGGAAAATATTAAAAAAAATATTAATTAATAATTTTTTTATCAATATTTGAATTTTAGTTTTTAATCATTTCACTACATAGGTGTATGTATGTGAGTGAATATATATACATATATAAAATTTGGCCAATTACTTGTCAGTTTGGAGTATTTGTTTTTTAATTATATAAACTAAAAGTGTTTATTTATTTATTTATTTTTTAAAATATGAAAACACTCTAAATCATGATTTAGATTCCTGGATATTACGCATAGATATTGGAACTATTTAGTATATTAAAAATTGATAAATTCTTATTTTTTCTCTAGTGGTTTTGCATTGATTTCAGTAATTGGTGTTTTTTTTGGGTTTTTATAACATTTTACTTATCTTCTAAATAATAATTGTGATTTTGACATGTGATTTTGTAAAAGTATAATTTTTCCTATTGGTTTTGCTCAATCTCCTAATATTTAAAAAAATATTTAAAAAAATCACATCTCAAAATTACAATTTTAAAATCTCAATTTGAGCATATATTCATGTCAGTTAAATAAATAACTAAAGTAGAAAGTAAAATAATTGCTTAAAATATCATTAGTTTATTACATATATATATATATATA